TTGAAATACTACATTATATAGGTTTGGAGGTGAAATTAATGGCATCGACTCTTTCTATGCAATAAAATCACTATAATTTTTTTCTTTAAGAAGTCAAGAAATCATTTCATAAAGATTATATAATATTATATATTTACCATCTAGCTCTTGTTTATTACTCCATTAATACTCTCTATACAACTCATTAATTGCATTCCAGCCGTAAAACATGTGCTTGTATAATACTTTGCCCATGATTTCTTACTTTCATATAAACATTCTAAATATTTTTTTATTGTAGAATAAATTTCAATTAATTTTTAATAATCATATTTGAAAGTCTTAATATCAAGCTTATTGCGGTATTTTTAAAATACTTCTGTAAATTTTTGGTAATTTTCACGTAATTTGTTTTTCAAATTTTTAAATAAATTTTGGTCTATATACCATATACAATGCAGGTGCCTTGTTTGGAAGCAAACTTGGGCTATAGTAGCATCTATTGCTAGATCAGCATTTGTAATTATTACAGGTGGGTAAAGCTTAAGTGCTTGTATTATAACTCTTAAACTCTATGCATAAGATTCTAGTATTTCATTATTAAGAAATACTTGCATAACAGAACATGTGTTAAAATTATTATCAACAACCACAAATATTGAAAGTGGAAGTCTATATATATTTGTTTTAGCAGTGTTGTCATGAACAACAACTGAACAATAACGGATATACAATTCAATTTGGTGTGGCTCTATCTATAGTAAATAGATAAGTGTTTGTGATACTAGATCTACTTTATACTCCACAATCCATCCTGCTTCTTCAGTTTTTTTTTCTAATAGATGTTGAGAATATTAGATGCATTTTCTTTTGTTTGCACCCTTTTATGATGAGTTAAAAAAATCACGTTATATAAATCTCTCTTAATAACTTGACGCTTATATTTATTTATAAGTATACAATATTGTTGTATTGGTTTAATATTGCTATCAATTGTCCAAAATCAGATATCTGACAACATTTCCTCTGTTAATTTTCAAAACTGTGATAAAAATTGACCTGTTTGCATATTAAGAACATGACCATGATGCTTATTTACGAATGTTATTAATTCATAAGCTCCTTTTCTTTTCTTTCTAATATTGATATGCTATAGACAGTCGACATGACTAGAAGTTTTGCTTCATTGTTTATTAAAAGTAGAGTGTATATCAATCATTTAATATATGATCTCAGTGATACAACAGGATTTTATATATAAATTAAAATACATCACTAATAAAACTCAAAACAACAGCTAAATTTTACCAAAATTTTGTAATATACAAATCAAACCTTTTATTTTTAGTAGTAAAACTTTCAGGTGCTATATTATTTTTAAAAAATAGATATACATATATTGTAAAGTTCTCAGGGATTTCTCAAATTTGCTAGAGTTATACAAAAACATAGTAAAAATATTTCTAAACCAGGTAATTACCCAATTAGATTTGTGCTTACTATGTAATTTGTTACACAAAAAATTTGCTATGCATATCATATGACAAATGATCTACATATACTCTACCTTAAGGTTGGTTGTTTTGTTTGACTTGTATATATCAGAATGTTTATATAAAAAAGTTCTTTTAATTGTATTCTCATCATTCTCTTTTTTTTTTGAACATCCCTTTCGATATCCAAATCTCTTTTGCTTACAATAGTTATTAAGAAATATATATACTTCGTCCCATGATACAAATAGTTTACTGATTCTAAGATCATTATCAATTTCATCATTATCCAACTAATTATCATTATCTAATACATAGTTCATATCATCGGATTGTTCGTTAGCATCTAACATATGGCTTTTATCAGCATCTTCTGATTGTTCATCAATATCAACTAATTGTCCAATATCAACTAATTGCTTACTAACATTAACTGATTGTTCGAAATTATCTAATTCATTATCTAATTGTTTTGTATCATCTAATTATTCATCAATATCTAACTGTCTACCAACATCTAACATATATTTTTCAACACTACTGTTCAATTGCTCACCAGCATCACTACAATCACTTATTCATTCATCAGCATCTAACAAACAATTTCCATTACTATTATCTACTAGTTCACCAGTATTATTTTCATTGTCAACTCGTTCACTAACATTATTTCTATCATCTATTTGTTTGATAGCTTTATTTCTATCATCTACTTGTTCAATAGCTTTATTTCCATCATCTACTTGTTCAACAACAATATTTCTATTGTCCACTTGTTCACTAGCTTTATTTCTGTCATCTATTTGTTTAATAGCTTTATTTCTGTCGTCTACTTGTTCATCAGCTTTATTTTTGTTACCTACTCATTCACTAATTTCTGGCAAATTATTTTCGTTGTTTATTTGTCTATTTGCATTTAAATAATTTTCTTTCCTAATTTGTTCCTCCAATAAATAATTGTCGTTATCTATTTGTTCATTAAGGTTCAAATAATTGACGGAGTTTAAATCGTTGGATCTATTACTAATACAGAGATATACATAGGTGCACCAAATGTACCAGTGCATCATTTAACATTTCTTTAATCCTTATTTATAAATATTATCAAAAAAATTTTTTATTTAAATATATTAAAATTTAAAAAAGTAGATCATAACTATATTTATAATAATTTTTCAAACAAATTTGTCTAAAAAAGCCTACAGTTTAAGAGATAATTAGCAGTGATTATTACTGGTATTATGTGATTATCACCAGTATTATATGATTATGATTAACCAATAAAATTTTTAATTTATTTTACTATACACAATATTAATAATTTAGCAATTACTACATTTAACAATTATTACAAAAATATATTAGTACCGCATATTTAAGTAATCATTTATTTATTTCATATATAGTAAATTTATATATTTAGGCTTTAAACTATTTTATCGACTATACGCAGCTAAATATTTCCAAATACCACTTTATTATATTCAGCACAATCTGTATTTCTTCACTTATTCTCAATAATATATTAAATAATCAAAATACGTAAAAATACAAATTTAGATTAGGATATTAATTTTTTTTTTTTTTTGGTTTTAAGGTGACTTCTTGGTCGATTTTCTTTATTCAGTTATTAGTCAAGTTTTACCATACGCTAAGCCTCTTACGACGCCCGTACAGTATATATATTTTGGAGAGTACAAACTAGCCACACGTACAACTTTTGATTGCCTATTTAA